AAAGAAGCGATCGCACAGCACTGAAAAATATCGGCAAAACTTGCGCTTTATCGACAGAACAAAGACTGAGGTCAGATTGCCAACCAGCACGATGCTTTCGTTGTTTCCCGAGACGTTTCTCCATAATTCGCTTGAAGGTGTTTCTGGCTTTATGACCGCATTTCGATGAAGCACGGTTTCAAGGCTGTAATGTATAAGGTTTTTTAAAAAGTTGGAGGGATAGGACATGATTGCGCTAGTGACTTGTTCATAAAAATATTGTCACATAGATACATCTAAAACAACATCCTCAGTCGGTAGTGTAAGATAATCTTTCGACGATAACAGCAACTTCCAACTTTGAAGACCCTGTCACAGAGCTGTTTGGTTACATATATGGTAATCGAAAATTGAGCTGTGCTCCCGGAAACGGGAACTTTGAGCGCCAGAGTGTGTAAACTCGATTTTACTTCCCTTTATACAAACCTCCAGCCAATGGAGTGAACTGGTTGTTCCGCAACGGGCACGATGAACAGAGGATGCGGTTGTCTTGACAATATAAATGACGCAGCTGTGGTCGATTACTGCTGCGCTTGTGCCAAATCCTATTCATGCGGGTAGATGCTTGTGGTCGCGACAACGGTCTACTGAAGAAAAGATTTGTTAGATGGAGCAATGTAAGGAAAATATCCTAGTGAAGGCAAGTTTATCAGTCGAACTCAGCGTAACTGGTGCTGAAAATACCTGAAGCCTGGTTGGTAGTCTGCTGGCCGTATTTGGTCAGTCAAGCCTACTTATTAGTACGCACTGTAGATGCCACCTCTATTGGTGGTAAAACCGTCTGCAGTCAAACTGTTTAGCACGGAGAACCAATCAAGACTTCAACTGCCTACGCGAGCAACCGGTATTTAAAATGGTTGCAAACGAAAAGTGTTTTGGTGGACTCACTAGAATGTTCGCAATAGGAGGCACGTAACAAAAGCCGAGGTGATGTCATGACAAGATGTATAAATACAGCTGTTCAGGGTGTGGAGAACGCACATTTGGCCGCCTTATGTGGCCCCCTGCTGGCATAAGCTTTGAAAGGAAATGCGAGTCGGACAACGCTTGACTACTTCCTTTTTGTTTAAGAAATTGTTAGCTTAAGCAATAAAGAACGACATAAGATGGGAGGGCGTTCCACAGCTGACACACACAAAGTGATAGGAAATTCGGATGGCTCTCCAGCTGGTTATAATGTATTGGCAACTGCAACAGGTGACCCCTTAGATGGTTGTTGTGGTTCCCTTCCAGTCGTGAACGTCAAATGTGATTCGGGATCTTCGGAAACGTTAACATAAGATGGTAGGGCAGGTGAAAGAGACCCTTGACATTCTTAGATGTCCTACGTTGAGCAGTCTTGAGAGCAGCGATATCCAGTGTTGGCCACTCGTGCCACGTCCTGATGGCGGATTCCACGTGTGGTCACACGTAGGCCTTAAGTATTTTTAGGAAAATTGAGTGATCAAACCGACCGAACGCTCTGCGAAGAAGTCCGAGATCTTTCTTACTGGTTCTCGAAACCTCGGATTGTTTCGAGCAGCCGAGGTCGTCCTGAACCAGTATCTCAAGATTACGTTCATGAGAAGCCTTATGCAACTCGTTGATGTGTATAGCCCAAGTATTCTATTCCATAGTTGAACACGTAGTCGCAATTCGGAGGGAGAATGCACAAACCTTATGACACACGCGGAATTGTATTCTGATACATGAACCGAAGCCGAAAGCATAAACGGTAAAACGAGCTAATCGGAACAAGCAAAAAAGGCCACTTAGTATCAACCAATGTGATAATGCTGTTCGGTCAATCGCGCTTGTGTGTGTGTGCTTGGTTGAGTAACGTCAATATGTGCGGTCGTAACATCGCCTCAAGTGGCAGATGAAAGCACATTTGTAATCAACCGCCATTTTCAGTCGCGCACACCCTTCGCTACTGCTACCACTACCTCAAACTTTGTAATAGTGTGGTCCACGGAGCCCTAAATCGTCCGCGTGATACTTGCACGCGGTCTGCGTAATTTCCCAATAATGTTATATTTCTGTTATACAATACTTTGTACGCGAGCACTTTATTTAAGGTTCGATGATAACATGCTGTGAAAATTTGTGAATGGCCAATGTGAATCATACTCCTACCAAGAAGGAATTTGGGTTTGGTAGAGAATTAAAATGTGAACGCACGATTCAGTCAAATCTCGGTAACGTTGTGTTGTGCTGGGTAAAGGCATTGCGTGTTATTCACCGTCCATGCAAACTCACATAATTTAGACGTTGCTTCCCAGGAGGAAACGAAAAGTAACTCATGAGTTGTGATCAATTTTTGCAGTCATTTCGAAAGTTGTTATCCGCCGAAATCGTGAAATCGGGAACAGTGACCCATTAGAGCGACTTAACCAAGGAGGCTGAGAATGAAAGCGTGGATATTTCGGGGTTTGACAAATATGCTCATTTGGCTTTGTGAACAGAAGAGAAACGAGCACTTGGATGTTGCAATCTAGGGGCTATTCTCCTTACTCTATTTTATAATTCAATTACAGTTGGACTTATCAAAGTACGCAAATTAAAGTTGATATGAATTCTTGTGCTTATTTATTCCCAATGTAACATTCCCACTATTAGCAGAAAGATGCACCTTTGGCTGAGGACAGAAACAGTGATAAATGTGTCACAGAACTATTTGTCGTCAAATTCTGGTGTAGTTGGGCCACTTATTGTGCCTTCTGAGAATGCGGAAACTGATACATTTGATGTACCCGCACCGCCTGATGCGATGCAAAATCTGTGCCAACCGGGGACATTCTTACCAGAAAGTAAGAGACGTAGATATAACAACATTTATCTTTCTTTTGGATTTAGGGATTCTAACAATTGCCCACAGTGAGCCCTCGATAACAAAGTGCTTTCAGGATATTTCCATGGTGTCTATAAAAGTGCCGCGGCATTTTGTATAGATGCAATTACAATGGAAAGATAAAACTACGGTTCAATTTTAACGCAAGCGAGATGAACTTATGAACACCAAACATTACATGTTACACGCGTTGCAGACCGGGAGTGCGGAAGCATCTTACTTAGTTATTTATCTTATTGCGCTGACAGCAGTACCTCACACAAAAGCCGTGCATGGTTTCAAGCCACTGCAGTCAAAATGGCTATGTTTACGCTAGAGGAAAAATCCGTAAAACAACCGTTTGTAATACCACTATCAAATGATACGGCATCTCGGAGGATTAAGACCATAGAAACTGTCGTTAAGAAGCAGCCAACCTCAAGCACCAGGTGTACTCATTTCGTTCTTCAAATGAATGACTCAACGGAGGCGGCAGTGCCAGTTGTGCTACTTATTCTTGTAAGATATCAACGCCTAGTGGCGTAGCAACTACTTTTGCCGCCCTGGTGCGGTGATAACATTTTCGCCTTTAATGGGAACAGAATAGGTTCGTGGAGGTCACCCAATCGGTTCAGATTAAAGAGCACATTAGCTTCTGGCGAAATAAATGGTTGTCTGTGTTACGCTGCAGTAGATAGTGTGTAAGGTCCACAATGGGACAAGTAAGTGACACTAGGGAGAACGTTTGCACAAGTGTGGCACATGACGCAAACGTGTTGTTGCTCATACAAAGTAACATTAACATCTTCAGCCCTCAGTTTGTCCGGATATTTGATTCTTTATATTTGGTATCGAACAATCAACAGTACTGAAAATGCCGCCCCTGCCACATGCCGCAAGAGGCAGACCGTCCCCCCGCCCCCTTATGCTGCGCCTCTGCCAAACATAACTATCCCTGGCAGGAGATATGCTTTTATCTAAACCGCTACCTTTGTACACCAGTAGCGTTAAGACGTTTAGCGTCGTGAATAATTTCGTGCAAGAAAATAAAATTGCGTGGGACAAGTACATTGCTATTTGCACTGATGAGGCGACAGGAATCAAAACCGTTGCAAAATCCTGCACCAGTACACATCGTTAAGCAGTTGTAAGAAAAATGCCCCCCAATACCAATGCTGTCCATAATGAGTGTAAAAATAAATACTTTCATTAAATTTAGACTTCTGAACACCAGATTGTGCAAGATTCAGTGTGGCCGTGTGATAAGTGTTCGCAGATCCTTACTGATCCACACTGAAGTAAGGTGGCTTATCCGTGGCGAAATATTACTACTTTTGTTGGAAATACGCATGGAAGTCTTCCACTTCTTGCTGGATCAACAAGTGCGTTTGCAGTTCCGAACGAGACAAAATGTGGTTGGGAAGACTTGCCCATTTGTCAGACCTCTTTGCAAAAATAAACGATGTAAACCTAGCATCACAAAGAAAATCTACGACCATATCCAATGTAACTGATGAAATCCGTGGTTCCAGCCGAATGTTTGGGCAAATCCTGCTGGTAGTGCAGACCGTGACAGCTTCCCGGCATAAAAATTTTCAGATAGTATGAATGGGGTATAGAACATCCAAAGGTTCTGTATGATAAAACCGTGCAACACTTAGAATATTTGGCCGCAGCCTCGTCTCGGTATTTCTGCAGAGAAGATAAAGAAAAGTTACATGAATTTGCATGAACCAGCAAGGAAAGATATGGAGACAGGAAGTAACTAAGGAGAGTCACAACGTTTTCACCGCAAAGAACGAGTTTTTTCCGAGTCCGAATGTACACTCATCCAGATGTCATATTCTATCTCCGTGATCTCTGGTGTAAAACGAATGACGAGTACCCTGACTAAGCGAAGACTGCCTTCACCGGGATGCTTCCATTTGCCACAACTTATCTCTCTGTGTGAAGGTGAATATTCGCATTACACGTATACAAAAGCAGAATCCTGCAATAGACTTAAAGCTGTATTCGATAAGAGTGTACAGCTTTCGTCAATAACACAATTGGTCACTGAAATCAACGCTGCATGTCATAAACAGGCTTATCCAACAGATTAACGACTAAGATACGCACTTTTTTCTATTGACGTTCAACATTTTTCATTTTTCCAAAACATTAAGTAACACCCGTGTTCATTCACTGTACACTAATCAAAGTTTTTAGGACAGTCCGCCAAATTCTCAGTTTATTGAAGCCTAGTCCTGTGGTTAGCAGTATTTCAGTAGGTTCACCATGCAACCTTCAACTAATAGGGAGTCCACGGCCCAGAATCATAGTGATGCGTGGCGTTACCTACCTCACAAGATTGCGTTTCTGCAACACAGAACTATGGACCTGCAGCTTATGTCGATTCACTGGGGTGGACCTCGTGATCGACTTCTCTATCGGGTAAAGCTGCTATATCCAAAAGATCAGCGCACGTATTGCTTTCAGTGCTATGGGAAACTTTTTTCACAGCCAAACGTATCATATATTGTTTTGCAGGCGAGACACAACTGAAACTACTCATCTGACAATGACAGAGAACATAAACTTTTATGGATTTTGTGCTGTTCTCCGAGCTGAATGATTATTGTGCAGTTCGAAAAACAGCTCAAAATCCACATCCACACATCGAGCTACGAATATTCTCATTTATTTCAAATCAAACTTTTGGTCATGTTCATTATAAATAAAGAACACAGATAGAAGACAGCTGCTGTACGTGTGTGTCCGGTGCACAGTGGGTAGATATTACGTGATGAAGCTTACTTCGAAATGGTTTTAGGCAGCTTGCCAAAAAGAATAGGAACTATTTCTCAAATCAGGTATATATTGCACGTCGAGACACAAGACGATTCCGCTTAACTTGTCTTCCGGTAGTCTAACACAAAGGATGCAATCGACCCAACTGGGATTGATAAAATGACTCCGTTTCTGTTTCGTACATGTGAAGATTCAGGTAGTGAATCTTCTGCTGCACCCATATGGTTGTTCGGCCAATTTAACCGCTTAGCATCGGCTACAGATTTCAACTGATCAGCCGTCAGCGTCACTGTCTGTGCATTGGTCACTATGATTCCTCGAAACATGTTGGTCACGTCCAATTCATAGGGTTTGCAGAAGGTACCGTTTATATCGCCCTGCGCCAGATGCTCAATACGCAACAATATTTGGTCAATTGTCGTTGCGGCGGTTTTCAACAATGGCCAAGGGACCAAACTAAGTATATATAATTGTGGCGGGATAACTGAGTTTAGTGCATTCCATTCTATATCCTCCACTTGTTCTGGCTCTTCAACGAAAGGAGCAAATAAAAATATTGGCTTTCTTGTCACAAGCCTGGATGTCAGAGAATCTTCCTCTTCGATAATTGCCAGTTCATCAAGTCTCAAGATATGACGACCGCGGACGATAAGACCTGAATGGAGGGTAAAATAAAACTCAAATAATCAACCATAAATATGTGGGTATGTTTAGTCTAGTGTGTTGGTGCTAATTTATATCATGCCTAATTGATGGGTTATTTTGATGCATTCATGTGATGCCTGCTATCTCTATCTGATGAGAGGAAATAACCTCGAAAAGCGTCATGGAGTGCAGTGGTTTCAGGCGGGCAACACCCAATACGGGTAAAACTTTTAAATCACGTTAAAACTGACGGGTTAGTAAGACCCCTGAGTGTTGTTACTATTTCGATGCTGAAATGTGGTAATTTACAAAGCTGAATTAATTGTTTTAAATTCCCACTTGGAAAATTGCTTGTCGTAAAACTCAGCTATTCATGCATAAACTGCTTATTGGTGAGAACTAAGCAATGAAAAGATCGCGACTTAGCTGATTCACATAACGATTTTATACCCAACGATGGAAACGAGAGCTGCCCACTGACTCCTATCAATAACCTATGCAATCAGCAATCTAGCAGTGCCATGATGCAGATGGCAGCCGTTCAAACCAGCACCACATGAGCTAGTACACCAGGAATAGGCTCATTTCCGCGAAACATTTTCCAAGGATCCGTACTCACTCACGGAAACTGTTGTCTAACTAATTGACCTAATCATTAAGTTAAATCAGACAGCCACTTTGATGATCGAAGGGAAAACTGCATAAATTGCTTGCTTACAGCAACTTTTCGACGATATGTGAATGAGGATCACAGCATCATCGTAATATATGGTGGAGATACGTCATCTTTAACTGGCGAGTGCATGGATAGGGGTTGTTGCGTAGCTTATGGCTGTAGCATTTTAGCAAAAAGGTTGCCACCACAAGTAGTCAGTAACACAGCTTGCAACTTCAACAGGTTCACCAAACAGCTTTGAACCAAATCCACAATAAACTGGGTGCCACGTGGGCTACAGCGCATTGTTTTACCAAATGACGGTGCCATAACAATGATATCAACAAAGAAAAGGGGGGTCGAAGTAGACGCACTACGGTAGAACAGTTGCCAGTTTTTATTGCTAAATCAATGTAGGGATAGATACACACAGTAACTGCAACACATAGCAACATCGCCATGCCTACAGCTCTCAGTTTAGTAACGCCGTTAGTAGTGATGTGAAACCAAACCAAGACGAAACCGCCGGTCCTGGGGTATAGCGATGAGGGATAACAACATCAAAACCCTCCACTTCGGTCGGATACGGTTCCAGTGATCGGAATGGCACAGGCTGACTTCAAAGTCGTAATCTAACACACAGGGTGGGTACTCCAAAACCCGACTATCAACATCTAACCGTTGTGTCAAGCTGTGCTCGCAGAGCTCAATGGTTTAGTGATTATGGCGATAGCCGCTAGTCACTATGTGTTGAGTTCCAATCCCAATTAAGGTCAGCTATACCTGATAAGTCCAAACCAAAACGTCCCTGTCTGTTATGGAGTACAGGGATGGCAGAAAGTTACATCGAAACTCTCCACTTCGACCTGAAACTCTGTTCATTCTTGGCGATAGTCTATGGTGAGCTGATTAGTACCGGAAGGTGGCCTCGTCGATAGAAACATTCAAGTTAAAACGAAGTTAGAACGAATGGTTCCAACCTTTCTGATGAAAGACGCCATTCCGCAGAAAGAAGTTCTACACACCGACAGCCGAAAGCATACAGAACTTTTTAGCTCGCGTTCTTATATCCTCGAGCCAAATCAAACGGACGCATTCCGTTAGCATTTCAATGCAAATATATACCATGCGCTAGCCTTAGCAACGATTGCTTAAGTCGCTTCGATTTGATGGTTTGTGATGGAAAACAAAAGTTCTTCGATATGAAAACATATCGTCGTCCCCTTGATACTCAAACTCACGCAAATACACATTCCTCGAAGTTGTTTGGATGGTTCTGTTCCTAGTCCGTCCTTCCAACGCTAAGTTTTGGGTAGCGAACTGATTCACGTATCACATGTGATCATGCGGTATACCGGAAGCCACTCGAAAATGACATCTTGCCCTGTTAAACTGAAAGTGGCCATGACGAGGTTTGAGCATGTGAATGCACGTAGCGAATCTCCACCTTCCGAGAGTAAGTGATTCAGCCTCTTTACGTGGTACTAGAAAATGCCGGCCTTAAGTGACCCCGCATTAGTTGATGGACATTGAACATGGGCACTGTTCCTGCCAGTTGTGACGTTACTACCGGTTTAGGCATTATTTCAGCACTGTGTTCAGTAGACACAAGTATAAACAGTCAGTTCATTATCTGAAAGAAGAGTGAGGCTTAAAATACCGCAATTGCCAGGCCATTTGGTCTGCTCAGGATTCTCCGAGGGCCTTTTAATTTCATTAACGCCTCAGGAGCGTTATGGTATTTTATATACGAAGCCACAGTCTGTTTAGTCTCGGGGATATGTGCACGGACAACATTCTGGCAGCAGATTTCCTAGATCGGAAAATTTGAACTACGCTAAATTTCCATCGTTGCAACTGTGCACTGTGATGGGAGTAGTATATAGGATGCAACAGGCACACAAACAAGACATAGGAGAAGGTTCGAGCCCCACAAAAGTCAGATGGAATGCTCACTGCTGATCGTTCCGGAATAGATAAAATGGCCGTATATTACTTTTCAGAAATGGTGATGACTGTCTGACTAGGCTCAGATGTTAGGAGTATCGAGTTATGTCATAGGAACCCCATTACAACTATTTTTAACATGTGACGAAGTCGATTAGGTGCAAATCGATCGGCCTTGGCTGTTGACCGCGCCAGGTTCCGCGTATTGGGTGGCGGCTAAAGACCAGTTTTCAGCTATGGTAAAGAGGACACCCTACTGGCAGAACTACGGAGTTATGAATGGTTCTGGTTGGACTATCTATATTGGAGGCACACTATGGTGGTGGCTAGATCCTCACAGATGGTCTGCCTCCTGCTGTTACTGTTGTGTCATTGGCTCATTTCCTGGACGCCTCCTCGTGGCAAGCGCTGGGTGGGAGTTGTGTTACGTCGTTCTCCCTGTTCAGATCCAGGACGCCAATACGCATGAGTCAGTGAACTGGCAATGTGCTAGACGCGCTGCCTTTCAGGTGTACATTTAATCGAAGGCTTTGGCTGAGGACCCGAGTCGTTCTCCTGTCAGGATTGGGCGCCCTGGCATTATCCTAGTCCATCCTCTCCGGAGGTTAGGAAGTAGTCGATGGCACACTTCCCGTAAAACCTAGCCATGGGAGACAACAGGTCCACGGATTATAAGCTCACAGCTTGGTTGGCATAGAGCACGAGCGCCACGCATTGTCTTTGACGGTGGGAGGACACCTCCGGGTGTTCAATGGTTTGCGACTGCCCGCCTCAAGCCAGGCAGCCCCTGGTCAAATTGGTGCAAACCCGCCAAAACCCACCTGCGTCTGGCCGTGGTCGCAGGTGTATCCTACTACGGTCGCAAAACATATATGAATCGTTCGAGTACCTCAAAGGCTGCGTGTGACGGCCGTCAAACAGTTTAAAATCAGTCTCTGCAATCACATTCACCTTGTAGGTCAGGCTATTGACCAAAAAGCTCCGGGCGGAGTCCCTCAAGCAAAACTCCAAGCCAGCCACTGCCTTGTGGATCAGGCTATTGAGCCAGAGGTTCCGAGTGGAGTCCCTCATGCAAACCTCCGACGCACAACGACCACCTCGCGTGCCATTGCCCACCAGTGCAACCGTATGCCTGCGCGCAAACCATCAGCATCGGGTGCCTGAACGTGCGCACAATGCCGGACCGGAACTCGTGTGAGCGACCCGAGCGACGCGCTGCACTGGTCGCGATGGAGCTGGCGCGTTACCACATCGATATTGCGGCGCTCAGTGAAACTCGGCTAGCTGAGCAAGGTAAGTTGCATGAAGCAGGTGCTGGCTGCGCATTCTACTGGGTGGGCAACGCTGCCTCAGCACCACGTGATCATGGGATCGGATTTGCAGCATCCGATCGCCTCCATGGCCAGCTGGTGGGTGAACCAACAGTCATCAGCCCACGACCGATGACTCTTCGCCTACGACTCGGAAGAGGGGAGTTTGCCAATTTTATAAGCACATACGATCAGAGCATGTGTTATCCTGATGACACGCGTGATCATTTCTACACTCATCTATCCTCATTGATACGGTCTGTGCCGAGGAGCTACCGACTATTTCTGCTGGGTGATTTCAACGCGCGCGTTGGGCGTGATCCATCGGTGTGGACAGATGTCATCGGTTCGCATGGCATTGGTTCAGCGAATGCAAACGGTGACAGGCTGCTCCCACTAAGTTCTACTCACGGCCGGACGAGCACGAAAACTCGGTTTGCACTGAGTGTAAGTGATATAGCAACTTGGACGCACCCACGGAGTGGTCAAGCTCACCTGCTCGCCTATGTCTTTGTACGTCAGCGTGAGATGCGTGCAGTGCGCATGACACGTGTACTGCGTGGAGCTGAGTGTGGCACTTATCATAAATTGGTTCGGACCAAACTGTACATATATCTTCCTACCTCTCTGTATTGCACTCCCGCCGTGAATCGGCGTAAATTTAACTTTCTCTCCCTCGGTACTGGGGCGAAAAGTATTGAGCTGGAGAAGGCGATGGCTGCACGCCTGTGTGATGTGGAATGGATAGCCACAGTGGGCGACCTGTGGCACCACATTCGCGACCAGGTGACAGCTTCTGCCGAGGAGACCTTCTAGCGCGCAAACTATAAGGATCTTAATTGGTTTGATAAGAACAATACGACGATTGGCGTATTGGTGTCGGAGAAGAATGCAGCTGAAGGATGCCCATGTGCTACCACTGTACAAGGTTAAAGGGAGTAAGCAAGGTTGCACGAATTATCGTGGCATCAACTTGTTGAGTTGTGTGGGTAAGCTGATTGCCCGAATCCTGCCCAACCGCCTCGTCAGTCAGGTTGTGGAACCGAGCGTGGCGGAAGAGGAGTGTGGATTCCGTTCTGGTCGCAGCACTATAGATGT